AGATCATGTGATGCATAGCAACGAGGGGAAGAGTATTGTCTACGTAACCTACGCAGACCGACTGCGGAAGCGATGACACGACGTAGAGGAAGTAGTCGTACGTCTTCACGATCCAACCGATCAAGCACCGAAACTACGGCACCTCCGAGTTCGAGCACACGTTCAGCTCGATGACGATCCCCGGACTCCGATCCAGCAAAGTGTCGGGGAAGAGTTCCGTCAGCACGACGGCGTGGTGACGATCTTGATGAACTACAGCAGCAGGGCTTCGCCTAAACTCCGCTACAGTATTATCGAGGAATATGGTGGCAGGGGGCACCGCACACGGCTAAGGAATCGATCACGTGGATCAACTTGTGTCAACTTGTGTGTTATGGGGTGCCCCTACCTCAGTATATAAAGGAGCCAAGGGGGGAGGGGGCGCCGGCCAAGAGAGAGAGGCGCAGGAGGAGTCCTACTCCTACCGGGAGTAGGACTCCCCCCCCCCCCCAATCCTATTCCAACTAGGATTCCCAAGGGGGAAAGAGGGAGAGGGGTGGCCGGCCACCTCTCCTAGTCCTAATAGGACTAGGGGAAGGGGGAAGGCGCGCAGCCCCCTTGGGCTGCCCCTTTCTCCTTTCCACTAAGGCCCATGAAGGCCCATATGGCTCCCGGGGGGTTCCGGTAACCTCCCGGTAACCCGGTAAAATCCCGATTTCACCCGGAACACTTCCGATGTCCAAACATAGGCTTCCAATATATCAATCTTTATGTCTCGACCATTTCGAGACTCCTCGTCATGTCCGTGATCACATCCGGGACTCCGAACAACCTTCGGTACATCAAAATGCATAAACTCATAATGTAACTGTCATCGTAACCTTAAGCGTGCGGACCCTACGGGTTCGAGAACAATGTAGACATGACCGAGACACGTCTCCGGTCAATAACCAATAGCGGGACCTGGATGCCCATATTGGCTCCTACATATTCTACGAAGATCTTTATCGGTCAGACCGCATAACAACATACGTTGTTCCCTTTGTCATCGGTATGTTACTTGCCCGAGATTCGATCGTCGGTATCCAATACCTAGTTCAATCTCGTTACCGGCAAGTCTCTTTACTCGTTCCGTAATACATCATCTCAGAACTAACATATTAGTTGTAATGCTTGCAAGGCTTATGTGATGTGTATTACCGAGAGGGCCCAGAGATACCTCTCCGACAATCGGAGTGACAAATCCTAATCTCGAAATACGCCAACCCAACATCGACCATTGGAGACACCTGTAGTACTCCTTTATAATCACCCAGTTACGTTGTGACGTTTGGTAGTACCCAAAGTGTTCCTCCGGTAAACGGGAGTTGCATAATCTCATAGTCATAGGAACATGTATAAGTCATGAAGAAAGCAATAGCAACATACTAAACGATCGGGTGCTAAGCTAATGGAATGGGTCATGTCAATCAGATCATTCTACTAATGATGTGACCTCGTTAATCAAATAACAACTCTTTGTTTCATGGTTAGGAAACATAACCATCTTTGATTAATGAGCTAGTCAAGTAGAGGCATACTAGTGACACTATGTTTGTCTATGTATTCACACATGTATTATGTTTCCGGTAAATACAATTTTAGCATGAATAATAAACATTTATCATGATTATAAGGAAATAAATAATAACTTTATTATTGCCTCTAGGGCATATTTCCTTCAGGCACCAGCCCCTAGAGGCCCATGCGCCAAGATATAGGAAAAAGGGGAGAGTCCTAAAGGGGGAAGACACCTCCGAGGTGCCTTGGGGAGGATGGACTCCTCCCCCCCTCTTGGCCGCACCCCTTTCTTGGAGTAAGGGGCAAGGCTGCGCCTCCCCCCCCTCTCCCCTGCCCCTATATATAGTGGAGGGGAGGGAGGGCATCCATACCTGAGCCCTTGGCGCCTCCCTCCCTCCCGTGACACCTCCTCCTCTCCCGTAGGTGCTTGGCGAAGCCCTGCAGGATTGCCACGCTCCTCCATCACCACCACGCCGTTGTGCTGCTGCTGGATGGAGTCTTCCTCAACCTCTCCCTGTCTCCTTGCTGGATCAAGGCGTGGGAGACATCGTCGAGCTGTACGTGTGTTGAACGCGGAGGTGCCGTCCGTTCGGCACTAGGATCATCGGTGATCTGAATCACGACGAGTACGACTCCATCAACCCCGTTCACTTGAACGCTTCCGCTTAGCGATCTACAAGGGTATGTAGATGCACTCTCTTTCTACTCGTTGCTGGTCTCTCCATAGATAGATCTTGGTGATACGTAGGAAAATTTTTGAATTTCTGCTACGTTCCCCAACAGTCGTGGATGCTATGGCCAGCAATGAAGGCGCTCTGGTTGGTGGAGATAAGCTCGCCGAGACGCGGCGCGAGCCGGAGGGAGAGGACCTTGGCAAACAGCTTGGCGAACAGATGGATGAGGCTGATCGGCCTATACTCGGCGAGGGACGAGGCTTCCGGGTGCTTGGGAAGGAGGGTGAGCAGGGCCTCGTTCAGCTTGTGGAAACTGCGGCCGTTAAGGTTGTAGAGCTTGCCAAAGGCCTCGACGAAGTCGTCGCGGATGATGTCCCACGCGGCGATGAGGAATTCCACCGTGAAGCCGTCGGGCCCAGGCGCTTTGCCGTGAGGGAGCTGGCGGACGGCAGACCAGATCTCGTCGGCCGAGAAGCGCTGGTCAAGCGCGGAGAGGTCGAAGGATCTGTCATCGATCGCATCGAGGGCGATGGTGTGTTCTCGGTGGTCGGCCGTGCCGAGCAGGCCAGAGAAGTGGGAGAAAGCGGCCTCGGCCATGGCCATGGGGTCGGAAATAGTGTCGTCACCCACGCGGAGCTCGTGGATGCGGTTTCGCCGGTTGCGGTGGGCGGCGCGCAGGCGAAGGAAGGCGATGTCGGTGTCTCCGGTGCGCAGCCAAGTGTGGGTGGAGCATGGCGACGAACTTGGCAAAATCATGAAAATTTTCTTCCTCGTCCTCCAATTATTCTCTGATCATGCTCATAACACCTAGCTGCAATTTCTCAGTAAATGTCCAAAATCTAAATTTATGTTAAACTTTGAGAAATCATGATTCATCAAACACAAATTGCGAAGATGAAGTTAAAATATAACAGATAATTATTCGAGTAAATAAACTTTGAGAAATCATGATTCATCAAACACAAATTGCGAAGATGAAGTTAAAATATAACAGATAATTATTCGAGTAAATCCCTAGCAGATCTAGCCAAATATGCTAGATTTAGCATCAGATAGCATAGCTTCGCTTGCTCGTGAGCAGACATGGTCATGCACCTTTTTTTGTAGTTACTCATGATGAGGAATCTTAAGGAGTGATTCGCCTTACCGAAAAGCTCTTTTGGTACACGGCGTCCAGTGCTATGCTATAGCATATATAGTCCAGAGGTTTGAAAAAAGAAATTGTACTCCGTTGAGGATTCTCAAACAAGGTGATGCGGTTTGAAATGGATGATTCTCAAAAGGAACGAACTCTACGTGCTCCACCAAGAATAAGAATCCTGCAAGAAATAAATAAAAAATAGAGCCGATACCGAATCTTACTTTTTCGAGCAGAATCTTACGATTCATATGGAGTGGCAGTGGCAAGTAAATTGGTCGTAAACTCGCGGCAAAGAAGTTGTAGGCAGCCCTTATTAGAATTAAATTTTCAGTTGGCCTTCCCTTCATATCCGCGCTCCGCCGCACCCCACCCCACCCCACCACCGCCACCGCGGATCCATCCGACTCCCACCAGCCACCGCCACCGCCACCGCCACTGGATCCATCCGACTCCGGAGTGAGGATAGGGGCACCAGTGGAGGGGTTTCTTTCGCTCCTTTGTCTGTGGAACCGCTGGTAAGATCTGGCTACCTACTCTTCCCATCATTCTCCTTTCCATCCCTAACCCTAATCCCCACCTAGAATAAAAAAAATTCGAAGTCCATGGGAAGCTGCCTCAAACCGACTCTCTTTCTCTAACTAGTATCTTTTGCCTAAGGATCTAGGTAAGGACTTTTCTCTGTGTTTATTGAGTTTCTATCTTGTGGTTTGCCCTCTTTTTCTCTTAAATTTTCTAGATCTCAATCTGATGTATGTATCCATGTAGGTGTGCCAGTGATTGACCTGTTTTTTCTTGTGAGCTAGAGAATGGGGGTTCTCTCTAGTGAGGTAGAGAATTGAGTTGGCCTCCTCTTGGATTACTGTGTAGATTTTAAACCGGAGCTTATATGCTTCCTTGGATTATTCTGTAGGTTTTAGTTCTCGATCGTACTTAGAGGATGTTGAGTTTCCCTCTTGTCTTGTGAAGCACCAAGTTGTTGAACTAGCCCATCTCGTATCTTAAACTTGAAAATGTAGGAATTTTGGTGTGGCCTCCTTACTTTCATGTATTTTGTGTTGGAAGCCTTGTTGTAAAATTCTTTATTTTTTGACACTTAAGATATTGTATTCTATTAAGGTTCAAAGATATACCCATTTATCCATCAATTTTCCCTATAAGGTATTATCCCTTAGAATCTAATGGTCATGCCTTTGTGTTGCAACCAACTATGCCTCTCTAACTCCTCATCATGTAACTCATGATCTCAATCCCTATTTGAGACAGCATTTAAAGTAGTATTATAATCTTTTGTTCTCAAAGCATTGCTGTAAATTTGCTCCTTGTTTTGTTGTAAGCTATGATTATTGGTAAAGTTGAGGGATACTATCTTTTTCTTTTGGACATGTGGATACTATCAATTATTCATGAGCGAGTCTACTATTTCTCTAGTGTTTCTTCTCGTGCTAATATTTTAGTTGTGACTTCAAGATTCCTCGTAGTGTTTTAAGTTGTGTGATTGTTGCTGTTTGACTCATTTGAATGTAATTTATGTTCTAGTAACTAACAACTAGTTCTGCATCCATTTGGTTCATCTGTGGTTCTTAGATTCCTTTTTTGGGGGGTTAATTTTGTTGCTTTTCCCTCTATCTCACAAGTTATGATGTTTGATGTTTGCCCAGGCACTTGATATGGATCAATCAATTGATATTCTTCTCGCAAATGCTTGTCAAGGAGATGACAACCTACGGTCAGTAGCAGAAGGCAAACTAAAGCAGCTCCATGATCTTGACCTTTCCAACTTCCTCCTAGGTTTATCATCTCAGCTCTTGAGGGAGGAGACTCCAGAAGAGTCTAGCATACTTGCTGGTATCATCCTTAAGAACTCCTTGGACTCAGGGGAGCCTGCACTCGACGATCTAGGGAGTCGAAAATGGCTCAGCCTCGATCCATCTATCCAATCACAGATTAAGGAGAACTTGCTCCTGACTCTAGAATCCAATTGTGATTCAAGGCGCCGCTCATCAAAAATTATTGCAAAAGTTATTGCATGGGTTGCATGCATTGAGATACCAAGGAATCAATGGGAGGAGCTCATTGGCAAATTGGTGGGGAACATGTCAATGCCATCTTCTTCCCTAAAGCAAGCAACTCTAGAGGTGCTCGAGTATGTCTTCGAGGAGAGCCCTTATGTTCTGAAGGAGGATCAAGTGGATGCTGTTCTCGCTAGTGTCATCAATGAAGTGAAAATGGAGGAGGGAGGAGAGCCAAGTTCTCAAGTTCGTCTCGCAGCTCTTAAAGCTCTACTCAACATTCTTAAGTTTATTGAGCTTGCTAAGCTTGAAGAGGAAAGTGGCAGCAGTTCTATAGTGGCTGCAGTTTGTGATGGTGCCTCTCGATCCAAGGAAACCAAGATCAAAGAGGCGGCATTTGAGTGCCTTGTTGTAGTTGCATCCAGATATCATACCAAATTATTACCCCACATGGAAATCATAGTGAGTCTTACAGTGGAAGCTTTGAAAGTGAAAGAAGATGAAGAATCACTCAGAGTCCAATGTATTGAGTTGTGGAACACTATTTGCCGAAAAGAGATTAATTGCCGAGAAGAAGAAGAAGAAGAAGATGAAGAAGAAGATGAAGAAGAAGAAGAAGAAGAAGGAGGAGGAGGAGGAGGAGGAGGAGACTCTATCTTTATTGGTCATCTTTGTTCATTTGTTCAACCTCTCCTAGAAGCTTACATGGAAAAAGAGAAAAACTTGGAAAAAGAGAAAAAAGAACAAGAAGTCGTTTCCATGAGTGTAGAAGAAGAGGGAGAAGAAGAGGGAGATGATAATTTAGAGGACATGGACATTTCCGTGAGTGCAGAACAAGAGGGAGTAAACCTTGACGACATCTGGGAACAAGTGGAAGATGAGAGTGTGCAAGACATTTTCATGACATGCCTAGGCCTGGCCACTAGAACTATGAAGGATAAAGTTGTCCCCCTTGTGATGAAATTTGTTCATGAGAATATCAATGGGCCTAGTCGCATGATGGCCATTTATCCATTAGGTTTTATCCTTGAAGGTCCCTCTGTTAATCAACTTGCTCCTGTAGTTCCTTTATTGGTTCGCATGATGGAAGATCCTCAGGAAGGTGAAGGTGTAAGAGGGAGGGCTGCATGGATTCTTGGACGGGTGTTTGAGCTTGTGGGAGCAAATAGAATCATAAAAAATGAGGTGGTGGACTTTCCTAGGATCATGACACTCTTAATAAAGATGAGCAAAGATGTCCCTCAAGTGTCCATTGAAGTGTATGGAGCTATATATTTTCTTGCAAGAGGTTATAGAGAGGATGCAAAGTCCACGTCCAAGTCATCTGAGCTTACACCTTTTGTTAAGCCTCTTATTGATGCCCTCCTTTCTGCTTCAGAACTTGTTAAGGAGACCCCTTTTAGGATTCCACCATGTGCATCTACTTATAAAGCATTGAGTGAGATCGTGAGAGTGAGCAACATTGAAGAACTAGAAATTTGTGATGCTCTTATTGGATTAATGTCTCAAATCTTCAGGAGGTTGAGCACTGTGGTTAAAGGTCATGGTGAAGCAATGTCATCAGATGAGAGGAAGAACCGTGGCCTTCTTGAGGTCTTGCATTGTGGTCTACTTGAACTCTCAATGAAGCAGCTGGGCACGAGCAACTTCGAGGTGGAGGCAGCATTCACACTTAGGGACTCTGCTAGCTGTTTATTGCTCCTTTGTGCCGTGTCTTAACGAGTGACAATCCTACTGCACGTGATCGAGCAGCACTTGCCATTGGTGCTCTTGCTCATGCCATTGGTTGTCATTTTGGACAACACATGCCTATCCTCCTACAATATTTTAATGTGAAACGACTCTCTCCGGTTTACATAGGAGTGATGTGCAGTATCTGTCATATCTTGGGAAAAGAGGAAGAAGTGGTGCCATCCTGGGATCATATTATGGAAGTTCTGTACAAGGGTATCCAAGAATTGTCACTTCAACCGTCAATTTTATCAAGCTTTGGAGAGATTGCTGTTGCTATTGGTGACAAATTTGAGAAGTACGTGCCTCCAGTTTTGGAAAAGCTTAGAGAAGCTGAAGCTGCTCATTTGAAGTTAGGAGATAAGGATCATGGTAGCAAGGTTAGAGAGTCAATATTCAAGGCTTACCATGGCATGATGGAGGGCATAAATGACCCAAAGTGTGGGATGAAGGTAGGAATGGCTCTGTATGAATTTATTGAAGATGACCAGAGCAACACCAAGAGAAGGTAGATATGCCTTTTTCCTTTTTTCTTTTTTTGGCTATAGTATGTACTTAGAGTTATATGTCATATAGTCATTAATTGATTATTTCCTTTTTTTAGGGATACAAGTGTGGCCATGGCAGGAGTTGATGCTTTGTCTCTACTACCTATGAGGGTGCGGGCTTGGTCAGAGCGATTAATTGTATTGATGAAGGAAGGAAGGGTTTATTAGTAGGCAAGTGATGAGGAACTAAATTGTGCTTTATTTTGGTACACCGAATTTGTATGACTGTTGATACTAGGTGTTGGTTGGAACCTCTCTGTCTATTATGGTTTTTAGTAAAGGACTAGTTCCCTTGGGACTCCCTTGCCCTTTTAGTCCTCCATCCCACAATGTATCCTTTTTCAAAGTTAGCTTGAAAAAAAGATCTTATTATATTGTGGGATGGAGAGATCTTATATTGTGTGTGAGATGAGCCCTAGGTCTTGTCAGCCTAAACCCTATGTCTTATTAGCCTAAAGCTAAAACTAAAGTGTGTAAACTTGCTTGATTGGAGCTGTGGAGCTTAAGAGGTACTCCCTCCGTTCGGAATTACTTGTCGTAGAAATGGATGTATCTAGATGTATTTTAGTTCTAGATACATCTATTTCCGAGACAACTAATTCATAACGGAGGGAGTAAAACTCTAATATTGGAGAAGACGAAGTAGAGCGTAAAGCCTAAAACTCTTAACATTAGAGCGTAGAGGGCCCCGCTTGGATCACCGTATAATTTACTTGCTCTCATAAAGAAACCGGTGGAATACAGTCGTAAGAGAATTCCCCTTCCAGGAGCTACTGTACTTGGGAAGCATACCCGTGTAGGCGTGTAGTTTCACTTCCATTCCCCTAGCACGACTCCATTTTGAACTCGGACGTCGCCGGCTGCGAGCTTGCAATCAATACGTCCCCTCAGCTTCCTCGTTTCATGCTGTCCTTGGTCCAAGTCAGGGCATGGATGGAAATTACTAATCCACTTCATCTTCCTGCTACGCCAAAAAAAAGTCAACGGAAGTTGTGCCCGAGCCATGGCGGCGAGGCCATGGACAAGAGCAACATATCCGTGGGGATGTCCACGGCAACCTCGTCGTCCGTCTCACTCTCCGGTGTGCTCCAGCGACAGCTTCCAGCTCTGTTTGCGCATCTCATCTCTAGCTGCGCCCTCGGCTGCTTGTCGCTGGCAG